GTGGTCACCTCAGGGGCTAGTCTGGGCTTCCTCACAGCATGGCAGCCTCAGATTTCCAACATGCAACTGAACCTTCAAAGGCAGGTGTCCCACCGAAGAACCAGGTGGAAACTTCATTTTAGAAGTCACACAGCATCTCTCACATTGCATTTTATTTGTTAGAAATTACTCAGAGACTGCAGGTACAGTTCAGGGGTAGAGTATTTTCCTAGCATGTTCAAAGCCCTGGGTCCAGTCCCTAGTACCCAAGGGAAAAAAAAAGAAGAAAAAGCTAGTTACCAAGTCTGGCTCGTTCAAAGAGATTCAAGTTAGTCTCCACTCTTTATTTATTTTTAAATTATAGATGGACACAGTGTCTTTATTTTTACTTTATGTGGCTCGAACCCAATGCCTTACTCATGCTAGGCAAGTGCTCTACCTCTGAGCCACAACCCAGCCCTCCATTCTTTTTTTTTTTTTTAACCAAGGATTGAACTCAGGGGCGCCAAACCACTGAACCATATCCCTGGCCCCCCCTTTACATTTTTTAAAAAAAATGATGATATACCTTTATTTTATTAATTTATTTATATGTGATGTTGAGAATTGATCCCAGTGCCTCACACATGCTAGGCAAGCGCTGTACCACTGATCCACAACCTCCCCAGCCTTTTAAAATTTTTTTATTTTGAGGCAAGTCCTCATCAAGTTGCCTAGGGCCTCACTAAATTGCTGAGGCTGGCCTTGAACTTGTAATTCTCCTGCCTCAACCTTGGAAGTCTTTGGGATTACAAATGGTCACCATGTAATTACAGGTGATACCATAGTGTGTCACCTTGCCAGGCTATTCAGTTTAGGTCATGGGCTAGGACTGTAGCTCAATGGTAGAGTGCTTGCCTTGCATGTGTGAAGCACTGGGTTCTATTCTCAGCACCACATAAAAATAAACAAATAGGGTCCGGGGTTGTGGCTCAGTGGTAGAACTCTTGCCTAACACATGCATGAGGCTCTGGGTTCATTCCCCAGCACCACATAAAAATAAACAAATAAAATAAAGTTATTGTGTACATCTACAACTAAAAAGATATTTTAAAAACAAGAGTATAGGGGCTGGGGATGTGGCTCAAGCGGTAGCGCGCTCGTCTGGCATGCGTGCGGCCCGGGTTTGATCCTCAGCACCACATACAAACAAAGATGTTGTGTCCGCCAAGAACTAGAAAATAAATATTAATAAATTGTCTCTCTCTCTGTCTTTCTCTCTCTTAAAAAAAAAACCAAGAGTATATAGGTCAGTTGTTTTGTATGATATTTCTCAGTTTTATTTTGTCTGATGTTTGTTCTTTTTGTGTGTGTGGTGGGTGGGGGTGGTGGAGATAGAGCACAAGGCCTCTCACATGCTAAGTGGGTGCTCTACACTGAGCCAAATCCCAGCCCTAGACTACAATTTTGAAAGCCAAGGCCCTGTCTTATTTATTTCTAAATCCTCAGGGTATGAGATATATAGTTTTTGTTTGTTCAAAAGTGAGGCTAAATAATTACTCCCCCACCACTTTTTTTTTTTTTGATGGTACTAGGGGTGCTCTACCACTGAGCTGCATTCCCTGCCCTTTTTATTTTTTAATTTTGAGACATGAGCTCACTAAGCACTAAGTTATCAAGGCTGGCTTCAAATTTGTGATCCTCCTGCCTTAGCCTCTTGAGTAGTTGGGATTTACCTCTCAACCCCCTCTCCTGGGACTGCCTTTGCTCTCACCAAAAAAGGCTAATATTTACTTGTGTCAATTCCAAAATCCTTCCAGAAGGATTTTGGATGCACTGGAAGCTAGGGGTCCAGAAAAAAAAAGGTATGGGGGGATATTCTCAAATCACTTACAATCTAACTAGAAATTTAAGACACACACACAAAAAATAAACATAGCTAACTGTGGTGTTTCATGCCTGTAATCTCTGAAGAGACTGAGGCAAGAGGATCAGAAGTTTGAGGCCAGTCTCAGCAACTTAGTGAGACCCTGTCTCATAACAAAAAATAAAAAGGGCTGAGGATGTGGCTCAGTGGTAGAGTGTCCCTGGGTTCGATCCCCAGTAGAAAAAAGAAAAAAAGAATAATACAAACTAAAAAACTATTCTAAACTGAGGGGAATAAAGAGGTATAAGTAAATGTAATGTGGAATCCTAGACTGAATCTTGTGAAAGAAAAAAGACATTAATTGAAAAATTGGTGACATTTGAATAGGGTCTATAAATAATTGTACCAACATTAATATATTAGTTTCAATGACTGCACTATGGTTACATAAAATGTTGATATTCAAGAATACTAGGTGAAGGGCATATGGAACTCCATGTAATATTTTTGCAAGTGTAAAATCATTTAAAATTAAAAAACATTTTAAATGAATTATAGACAAATTAAAACCTATAATGTACCTTTTTTTTTTTTTGGGTACTGGGAATTAAACTCAGGGGCACTTTACCTCTGAGCTGCATCCCTAGCCCTTTTTGAGACAGTGTCTCTCTAAGTTGCTTAGGGCCTCACTAAGTTGCTAAGGCTGGCTTCAAACTTGGAATCCTCCTGCCTCAGTCTCCCAAGTCACTGGGATTACAGGTGTGTGCCATTGCTACTGGCTACATTTTTTTTAAACATAACACCAAAAATGTGATCCATAAGATAAAACTTGATAAGTCATACCATCTTTACAATTAAGAACCTCTGCTCTTTGAATGACACCGTTAACCAGCTACACTGGAGGTTAGCTTGAACAACTAGTGAGACCCTGTCTCAAAAAAAAAAAAAAAAAAGGGCTGAGAATGTACCTCAGTGGTAAAGTAAATACCCCTGGAATCAATCCGCATTACTATACATACACACATAAACACACACACACACACACACACACACTGCTAAAATTAAAGGAATGACCACAGTCAAGTATGGGCAAGGATGTGCAACAACTCAAATACTGATACAGGGGGCTGGGATTGTGGCTCGGCGGTAGAACACTCGCCTAGCACATGTAAGGCCCTGGGTTCAATCCTCAGCACCACATAAAGATAAATAAATAAAATAAAGGTATAAAAAAAACAGTACTTATATGAATTTAAAATGGTGCAACCACTTTGAAAAACAAATTGGAAGCTTCTCAAAAAGTTAGCCATGGGGCTAGGGTTGTGGCTCAGTGGAAGAGTGCCTGCCTAGCATGTGTGAGGCACTGGGTTACATTCTCAGCACCGCATATAAATAAATGAATAAAATAAAGGTCTATCAACTAAAAACTATATATAATTTTTTTAAAGTTAGCCATGCTTCTATTGGGTAATCCAGGCAATCATTCCTAGATATATCCCCAGAGAGAATGAAACACATGTTCTGCTGTTTGGAAAAGTAGCCCCAAAGGCTTATGTGCTAAGTACTTGTTACCAGCCTCTGAATCTATTGGGAGGTGACATGTGACCCCTTTAAAGTTGAAGCCTATTTAGAAATGTCCCAGTTTACTTGGGGGTGTGCTCTTGAAGGGGGTATTGGTAACTTAGTCCCCTCCTTTTTCCCTCTTTTTTTTTTCCATTTAAGAGCAAAGTAAGAGGATTTATTTAAGAAATAGGAAGTGGAGCTCCTGCAAGAAGGGGTCCAAAGAGAGGGTTGCCTTCCTTTATGCCTCTTTAATGCTAGGTCATGAGGTGAGCAGGCCTCCTCTGCTCACTATGATGGACTGTGTTTCTGCAGTCCCAAAGCAATGGGGCCAGTCAGTTATTGAATGAAATCTTCAAAAATGGGCCAAAATAAACCTTTCCTCTTGTTAAGTTGACTTATATTATTACAGTAACTGAAAGCTAATACATGTCCGAACAAAGAATATTGTATATAAATATTTATAATAGCTTTATTTATTTTTTAATATTTATTTTTTAGTTGCAGCTGGACACAACACCTTTATTTTATTTATTGTTACATGGTGCTGAGGATGGAACCTAAGGCCTTGCACTGCTAGGCGAGTGTTCTACCACTGAGCCACAACCCCAGCCCAATATAATACCTTTATTTGTAATAGCCCAAACCTGGAAACAACCAAATGTTCATCAACAGATAAATGGATAAACAAATTGTGCTATATCCAAACAATGGCATACTATTCTGCAATAAAAGGAATAAACTATTGGTGCAAGAAACATGGATGAATCTCAAGATAATTACACTAAATAAAGAAATCAGACACACACTCCAAATACCATTTCCGTGTAATTCCTCTTATATATAACATTTTAGAGAATGTAAATAAACTGCTATCAAAAAAGCAGGTGAGTGGTGTCCTAGAGATGGGAGGGTGGAAGGGAAGCATCATAAAGGAGCATGAAGAAACTTTTGGAACTGATGATATAGTCACTATTGTGATTGTGGAGCCATATTCATGGGTGTATATACAACCTAATAATTGTACACCTTAAATATGTATGGGTTATTGTTTGTCAGTTATACCTCAATAAGGCTATTTAATCAATTACATGTAGATGCCAAGCATAAATTACCAATTAGGTCCTGAAAATACCAATGGACCAGTCCTATATCTGGAATTTGAAGATGAGGAAATTCCTAGTGCCATCAGCCATTCTGGAAACAACTTCTGTTGCCAATTCCCTCCATGTCAGGACCTAGTTAGCTAGGTAGTTTATGAAAGGAGACCCATGTGGGCTGGATAGGACTCTGGCAGCCACTCATACGTCACACACTCTTGGGACTTGATGTATTTTCCTAACTCCGAAAGAGGAGTGGAGGAGAAATGATGCAGGATCCAGGAGCTGGAGATGAGTTGGGTTGAGTAGGGTAGCCATTCAAGACTGTGTACTCCAGCGGCAAGAATGGAGCTAAGAAGACACATGCTTCAATAATTCTTGCTTGTGGATGAGAACAAGACCTGACCTTTCCGTCACACAGAACTGAAGCTTTAATCCAAGTTTCCCTGTTTTCTATTCACCTCTTTTCTGCCATCCATTTTCATTATGCCAAGTGGCCACTGTTTGTGTATGATATGTGAAAGGCTCTATCCTTTTGGATTCAACACTTTAGAGTATCTAGTTAGGATAAGATTGAAATAGACCTGAGGTCTGAAGGAGCAGAGACAAGTCTACATACGCAATCGAAATAAGACTGTTATAAGTGTAAATAAATAAGGTGCTACAGAGGAAGGAGAAATCTTTCTGTATGGAAAAAAAAGATATGGTGATAGCAGGAAACAGGCGAACTCCTCATTCAAGAGTGCGAACTCCCCACAATGGCAATAAGGTTTTCAATAAATGTTACTGTCCTTCCTCCTTTCATATTCTGATCCGACCTTTCATTTATTCCCAAACTTCTCGGCTCCTGAACAGCATTGGGTTTCATGCTACTGTCCTTTTTGCATCTTAAGTTCTCTCGTCCCGGAATGGAATGTCCTTTTCAGAGAGAACGAACGTGACACGAAATGGAGCTTGAAAGAGAATAAAGCACATGGTAACAATTAAGCACAAGGGCTACGGAGGCCAGCCTCTGGCTCCTAATGCGTAAAAAGGAGATAAAAGCAAAATTTATTTAATAAGGGTGGTAAGTAGATTAAAGGGGCATTCCTGTTTAAGCTTTTAGCATCACATATGGCACCCAATGAGCGTTCAGGAAATGCAAAGCTTGTGCGAGTAGACGACCTGACCTGCCCCGCCCCGTCCCGCCCCTCCCCGCTCCGCCCTGCTCCGAGCAGAAGCCACCCCTTGACCAGCACCCCCCAGCCCAGGACTCCCAGGTCTGCGCCGCCACGTCTCCTCTCCCGTCCTCCTGATACCGGGTTTACTAGACCCGGCCCAGCGCTCGGTACCCGGCTCACCGGGCCGCGCCCCACACTCTGCTTGCGTCCTTCGATTGGTTGCTGAAGATGCCCTTCATCAAAGACATCTGAAGATTGGCCAAGGCGGGTGGTGGGGGGCGGGTCTTTAGGAGCGTAGGAAGGGCGGGGACCCGGATGTGTGTGGTGGTGGCGGCCGAAGAGCTAGTGTGCGGAGCTGAGAGGCCTATGGATGAGGAGGACGCGGCGGCCCCGGTAGGCGGGGATCGGGGCGGGGTCCCGGAGGCCTCGGGTCTCCCCGGAGTCCGAGGCGGGGGTCCTGGGCGGGGGCTCCGGGGCCAGGGGCGGGGCCTTGCGCTCTGGTCACTGGTCTTCCTTTTGCAGTGCACCCTTGCCTGGTGCAAGGCCTGGGGAGACGGGGCGTGGCACACTGGTAGGCAGGGGCCTTGTTACCACCCGGTCCAGTCTGATTAACTAGACCGTTGGGGGTGGAGGCGGGGCCCAGCGAAGCTGCCAGTCGCTATGGGTTTCAAAGACAAGCAGATGCGCAAAGGTCTGGGGCGCTAGCATATATCTGGGGTTGAGACCTGGCGAAGAGCCCGGTATGGAGTCTTAGGCTGCCCCACAGGTGTCTACTGTTCTGGGCCACGTGGTGGGTTGTAGTTACTACTAATGAGCATTGGGATTGAACTCAACCCAGCCTAGGTTTGCCATGCACCTACTGTGTGCAAAGATCTGGTCCGAAGCTTGGGACATGGGAAGAGAAGAGTATCTCACTTTTTTCTCACTTTTGGCTCTCAAGAGAAATTTGTTCATTCATTTGTATGTTAGTACTGCAGGTTGTTGGTTTTTTTAATATATATTTTTATTAGTTTTTGATGATTTTTTAAAATTTTTATTTATTTTTTTGCATGTGGTGCTGGGAATCAAACCCAGTGCATTACACATACTAGGCAAGCACTCTACCACTGAGCCACACCCCCAGCCCCTGCAGATTGTTTAAATACCCAGATCATCCCATTCCTCTCCTTTGCTGCTACCATCTTAATGGATGCCATGTTTCATCTGAACTGCTGCAACAGCCTGAAGCCTAAGTGAGCTTTAAGATCATATAATTTTTTTTCTTAAAACTCCCCAGAAGTTTCCCATCATATTAAATTCAAACTCTTTACCATGGTTTATAGGGCCTCTACTTGGTTCCTGCCTTCTTATCTTCTTTTTCATTTTCACCTTCCCTACACGCTACCATGCCAGCTCTCTTCCACCCAAGGACCTGTACCTTGGTTCTCCCCCGTGCCTGGAATGCTCTTTCTTGGGCTGTCTTATGCCCAGCTCCTTTTCAACTCAAATGTCACCTCCTCAAAGAGACCATTCCTCCACCATTCTTTGTCACAGCATCTGTTTTTTCCTCCACTGACTAAAATGGCAACCCTATGAGAGAGCAGGAATCCCGTTCATCTTGTTCATAGTTCTGTTTCTAGCACCTAAGACAGTGCACAGTAGAAGTGCATTAAATGTTGAATGAAAGGATAAGGATGGGGATTATGAGATAAGTCATAATTGGGCAAAGGGCCTCAAGTCTAGTGCCCTCTCCACATTCAGGGTTGAGCAGGATGAGGTGCTTTGCTCAGGGCCTTGCTTCCTCCTCAGTCTCTTGTTCCCTCAGCAGGTTTGTTCTCATGAACAAGATGGATGACCTCAACCTGCACTACCGGTTTCTGAATTGGCGTCGGCGGATCCGGGAGATTCGAGAGGTTCGGGCTTTCCGATATCAGGAGAGGTTTAAACATATTCTTGTAGATGGAGACACTTTGAGGTGAGTTTAGGGGAATGGTTCCATATTTTCCTTTCTGTACCAGATCTTAAGAGGCAAAGGGGGGCTTTTTCAGAGGTAGGGGACTGTCTACACAGGGGAATGTGTTGACTTTCTGAGTGGAGCAGTATGTGTTGCTTTACCCTGTATTCCCCTCTGCCTTTCTCACTGAGTCACAGGTCAAATATAGGAGTACCCTGAGTTCTTTTTTTTTTTTTTTTTTTAGAGAAAGTGAGAGGGGGGAGAAGAGAGAGAGAGAAATTTTTTTAAATATTTATTTCTTAGTTCTCGGCAGACACAACATCTTTGTTGGTATGTGGTGCTGGGGATCGAACCTGGGCCGCACGCATGCCAGACGAGCACACTACCGCCTGAGCCACATTCCCAGCCCCACCCTGAGTTCTTTGTTGAGAAGACTATAATGAGTCTTGAGTGTCTTGAGTCCCCTTCTCCCATGTGTCAGAAATTGGACTTAGTGAAGGATGGCCCGTTCAAAGGCAGCGGCCCTTCTGTTTGGGGAAGGACAGTTCTGTAATACATTCTTTTCACCACCTCTTGTGTTTTTCCAACCCTTTGGTTTGTGTAGGTTTATCTTTTTACTGTCTTGGACACCTTCTCTCACTCCTTCCTAGCCTCTTTCACAGAATAGTCACTGATGGGGGAAGGAAGTAGTATTATTTAGCCTAGAGTCAAGAAATCTGAGGACTGGGGACTGAGTAACTGTCTTCCAGTCTGCAAAGGGCTTTGGTACAGAGGCTAGAGACCAGCTGTTCTCCAGATCCACTGAGGACAGAGCAGAGGCAAGGGCCTGAAGCTGCAGCATGAGGGTTTGAGATTAGACAGGGTTGTGAGACCCCTATTAGGCAACTGAGGGAGGCTCTGCATTTCCCCACTGGAGCTGAAGAAGCCAGGCTTGTGTTGCATTGGACCTTGGCTGTAGTTGGTGGGAGGGGTGAGTGACCTTAAGTATTGTGTTATGATGGGATGCAGATATCCTGAAATGTGGTCTGAAGGATTCTCCTCTGTGCTAGGCCTGGCAGGGTACAGTTGGGATACTGAGGCCTTCTTCCCCATTCCTGGGCCTGGCTGCTAATGGAACTCTTCCCTCATTTCTCCTTTAGTTACCATGGCAACTCTGGTGAAGTTGGCTGCTACGTGGCTTCTCGACCCCTGACCAAGGACAGCAATTATTTCGAGGTGATCAAGCAGTGGGTGGGCAGAGCAGGGGTGAAGTCAGGGGTGAGAGCCTCAAGCTCCAAGGAGTATCTTTATTGGATTAATGATCCTGTCCTTTTCATTTTCCATTAGGCTAGCCTTAGCTGGGAAAAGGGTGCAGGATAGTATGGCCCCTGATCTGAGAAATAGGGGCCCTGGAGTTCTACCACCCTGTCCCTTCTTCTGCCCTTCACCCTCACCTAGGCGAACTTTGACCATATCCCAGACTTTGACCCTGTTGCTTTCCTACCCCCATACCCAAACCCACTGTCTACTCCTATGTTTTTCCATAGCTCAGAAATAATTGTCTAAGTAATCATGGGAAAATAGGACTCCAGCTTCCCCAGTTCTCTCTCTGCCGGTCCTTTCTCTGATTTCCATGTCTTTTTTTCTCATTAAGCCTTTTGATCATTAACTCCCCTTCCTCCCTACCTGCATCAGTGTAATTCATTGCCCATCCCTGATAACGGTGCCCTGTTCTCTTCCCTCCAGGTGTCTATTGTGGACAGTGGTGTCCGGGGCACCATTGCTGTGGGGCTGGTTCCTCAGTATTATAGCTTGGACCACCAGCCTGGCTGGCTGCCTGACTCTGTAGCCTACCATGCTGATGATGGCAAGTAAGTGGTCCCTGTAGAACCTAACCCCTTCCCTGTGGATTTAGGAATTGTAGATATGAAGGAGAGCTTTTCCATTCCTTCTCCTGTCTTGGGTGTTTTCATAGAGCTTTTCTGATCAGGATAGAAGTTGGCCTGGTGGCTACCCTTGCAGGTGTGCAAATTTTGGGGAGAAGGTGGAGGTCATGCCAGGATACAGGGGGATGCTATCCAGAGTGGAATATCTGGTAAGGTGGGGGGCAGTTAATCTTATGTCTGAGCCACTCACTTTACAGGCTGTACAATGGTCGAGCCAAGGGCCGCCAGTTTGGGTCAAAGTGCAACTCTGGGGATCGGATTGGCTGTGGCATTGAGCCTGTGTCCTTTGATGTGCAGACTGCTCAGATCTTCTTCACCAAAAATGGCAAGCGGGTGAGTAGGAAATCCTGGGTGGGTTCCAGTGACTTGAAGGTGCCCAAGGGTTTGTGGGAGCAACTGGGATGAGTCCACTGGGCCCCAGGAGACATGTACTTGGTTCCCATCTCCTTCAGTCCAACTTCAGATACACCTGAAATTCCCTGTGTGTTGAAGATATTTTCCCTGCCTGGGCAGCTAGGTGCCCCAGATGATAGGCCTGGAGGGCAAGTCAGTGTAGCAAGTAGAAGATGAGCAGAAAATGTGGGAGCAGAATTGGATGACTTGAGGAAAGATTTTTTTTTTCTTTGTGATACTGGGGCCTTGTGTATGCAAGGCAAGCTCTCTACTAACTGAACTATATCCCTAGCCCTAGGGGAAGATTTTGAGCAAAAAAAAAAAAAAGGGAAGATGTGGCGTGACTGCATAGGCTGGAGGGCCCCTATAGGTTTTTGACTTGTGTGCTCTTGGGGATAACGCATCCTTTCTGTGGTTGATTTTCCTTCTTTCACTTCTCCTTCCCTTTTCTCTCCAGAGAGAGACTAGTAGTGGTGAAGAGTTGGGACAAGAACAAATAGAAAGGAGAGATACTCAGCTTTCTCTCTTTACCCAGCTCCCTCTTCTGCACTGGACAGTTGCTTTCTCAGGCCTTGGTTGAGTGTCCTGCTCTGTTAGCAGCTGTGCCTCTGCACTTTCCCACTGCAGTGCACACATACATGTCCCCAAAGTACTGACAGTAAGTCCAGAGACTTGTCTTTGCCTTCTAGCTCTGTGGATACCTTGCTCTGCCAGGAGAGTACTTAGCAAAATTTTAAACTTTTCTGTACTTCTAGATTGTTTGTTTATTTTTTGCCATACTGGGTATTTAACCCAGGGATTCTCTACCATTGAGCTATATCCATAGCCTTTTTTTTTATGGTTCTGGGGATTGAACTCAGGGGCACTTGACCACTGAGCCACATCTCTATCCCCTATTTTGTATTTTTTTAATTTAGAGACAGGGTCTCACTGAGTTGCTTAGTGCCTCTCTTTTGCTCAGATTGGCTTTGAACTCGTGACCCTCCTGCCTCAGCCTCCCAAGCTGCTGGGATTATAGGGATGTTCCACCATGCCTGGCCCACAGCCCTTTTTCTTTTTTATTTTGATACCGGGTCTTGCTGAATTGTTGAGGCTGGCCTCAAACTTGTAATCCTCCTGCCTCAGCCTCCAGAGTCACCAGGATTACAGGTATGTGCCACCACACCTGGGTATACCTCTTTTTTTTTTTAATATTTATTTTTTAGTCGTAGGTGGTAATTTAATTTTTATTTGGTGCTGAGGATTGAACCCAGTGCTTCACTAGGGAGGCAAGCTCTCTACCTGTGAGCCACAACCCCAGTCCTGGCTATATCTCTTTTTAAAATCTGTCAGTATGTGTCATAATTATTGGTTGCATCATCGTTTTTTTTTTTTTTTTTTTTGTAACTGGGATTGAACCTAGCTGTACTTAACCACTAAACCATATCCCCAGCCCTTTTTATGTTTTACTTTGAGACAGGGTCTCACTGAGTTGCTTAGGGCCTCACTAAGTTGCTGAAGCTGGCTTTGAATTTGTGATCCTCCTGCCTCAATCTCCCGAGTTGCTGGGATTACAGGTGTGTACCACCACTCCCAGCTGGTTACATCATCTTTAAAGTGCCCTTGTGAGAATTAGATAAGCTGTGCAAAAGTGAGTTGTTATAGTAAAATTGAAAAGAGAGGCTCTGAATGAGGTTTTCTCCCTTCCTCCACTGCAGGTGGGCTCCACCATCATGCCCATGTCACCAGATGGACTGTTCCCAGCAGTCGGCATGCACTCCCTGGGTGAGGAGGTGCGATTGCACCTCAACGCTGAGCTGGGCCGTGAGGATGACAGCATTATGATGGTGGATAGTTACGAGGATGAATGGGGCCGGCTGCATGATGTCAGAGTCTGCGGGACTGTGAGTAAAGTACAGTGGGAGTGAGGGCAGAGAGGGCTGGGAAGAACCCCTGTGGACACTTGAGCGCATCTGAGTGGCTAAGAATTGGGAGTCTGGACAGTATCTTTTGCAGGGCTTTGGGAAGTGGGCCTTTGGGCAGGATAGCCTGGACCCATGATATGATACTTGGAGTCCAAATCCATGTTCTCTTTAGCACTGATTTCTTTTTTTTCCGCTTCTCTTTCATTTGAGGTCTCAGGCTAGTCGTTGACTCTTGGGAAGTGTGGAAGCTCTTTGACTGATTTGATTCCTTCAGTGTCTGGTGCCATCTACTGCTCCGCCTGCCTGCCTTTGAAGGGCTGGGGGCTGATTTGGAGGCAGAATGCCTGCATTCCCCTCCTTGCTTGGTGCCAGCTCAGCTGTTCATTCAAGATGCTGTGGGACAGGTGTGGTCACCAGCCCCACATAAGTGGGGGGAAGTTCTTGGAGATCTTTGTTGAATAAGTTTCAGTATCAGTCTCTTTTCTCTTCCCCATCCATTTTATTGGGGATTAAAAGAGACAGGGAGAATTCTTGAGCCTCTGGAGCTTGTCGTCTTGTTTTTTCCTCAGACCTACTTTTGTCTCAGTCTGGGTTATAAGCTTTCTTGTGAAATGCATGAACCTTGAGAGAGGGAAGTCCTCTAGTCTGCCTTCAGTGTCTCTTGCTGTGTTGGGAGTGACTGGACACTGAGTCAAGTCTGGCCCTGACCTCTACTGGGCTGCTCAGGCCTCCCACTTCGAATTGTCCCTCTGCTGCCCCTTGCTCCCAGCCTGGCCTTTTTTTCCACCCTCTGGCCTTCTGACCCCTACCCAGGCTGTTTTCAAATCAGCCTTTGATAGGAAAACAGAAGCAGTGGGGGGTGGGAGTGGATTATGAGCAAGTCCTCCCCCTTGTGGAGTTCAGGGTAAGCAGAACTCAGGGAAAATGGCAGAAAGTGTGTTCCCCTCTGTGTACCCCTCTGGCTTTGGGGTCCAGGGGCTACTGTGGCTGTGAATCAAAAAGCCTCAGATGCCTACTTCTTGACTTTCATTGCTTTCTTTTCTTTTCCCCTTCTACCATAATTTTGACAATATCTACATTCTTGAACTTGGGCTTGAGCCAGGGCAGTGTTCCAGCTCTCATCTCTGACCTCTCCTCAAGAGTTTTTTCCTGGCATCGTTTCCCTGCCTGGACCTGTCCCCACTCTGCTCCCAGCTCCTCCCAGGCATCTTTTCTAATTGATGCGGAATCCTGTAGACATTTATAAATAGCCTTCCTTCCTCCCCACCCTCCCCTCAGTGCCCTCAGGCCACTCATTTATGAATTTTTTCTTTCTTAGACAAAGGCTGTAGAGTTTAGCTATTCTATCAGACCCTCACCCTAGCTTAGGACAGCTAGCAGGGTGGGACCGCTTGCTCTCTGAGCACTTGCTCCCCTAGGGCAGATGTGGGTATGAACTCTTGAGAGATATACCTTCTTCTAGTCTTGCCAACTGTCCCATCTTTCATAAGAGGGTTGAGTGGTTTCTTCCCTGATTTGTTTCATTGCCTTGGGCTTCCCAGCTCCCCACCTCATCTCTTTGCCTCCCCATCCTGTCCCTTCTTACCACCCACTGTATTTCTTTCTTTCTTGTTAATTTTTTTTATAGTTGTAGATGGACAGAATGTCTTTATTTTATTTATTTTTAAGTGGTGCTAAGGATCGAATCCAGTTTATTTTTAAGTGGTGCTAAGGATCGCTTGCCAGGCAAGCGCTTTGCCACTGAGCTACAGCTCCAGCCTCACCCACCGTATTTTTAACCCATCAATCAGAGCTGTGTCAGCCTGGAGGGACCCAGGGAGACATCATTTGAGCCATTCCATATCGCCTGTTTTCTAAAGATGTCTAGCAGAGTTGTTTCTCCTCTTTGCCCCTCCCTTTTTTTATGTCCCCCTCTACTGGGGAGCCTTTCCCTGAATTCCAGGCCCCTGCTGCTGTTGCAGTCTTTTCCTGTCCTGGGCGATGTTCTCAGTATAGTGCTTTAGAACCATGAGGACTTGGTAGAGCCTTAGATTTGACCTAGTCTAGAATTTCTCCATGGGAGATTGTTCATGATTTACTTGGGACAATTCTTCAGTATGCAAGACATTTAGTATCCTCAGCCCCCAAATAAGATGATAGTAGCTCCTTCCCCTAATCATTGAAATAGCTCAATGAAAAAAATAGTAGCAGATAAAAGTGAAGAGACTTGTTCAGATGTTAGCTAACTAGTAGCAAAATTAGGCTCAGATATTTTTTGACTCTTATCACTATCTTTTCCACCGTCTAAAACTGATGATCCTGACCTGTAGTTTGACTTAAGATTTTCCAACTTGGGCTGGGGTTGTGGCTCAGTGGTTGAGCATTTGCCTTGCATGCATGAGGCACTGGGTTCGGTCCTCAGCATCACATACATACATACATACATACTTACATAAAATAAAGATATTGTGTCCATCTATAACTAAAAAAAAGAAAAAGATTTTCCAACTTTATGATATGAATTGTTACTGCCCCTAAACTTTGCAAAATGAGGTCCTGTGTAAAGAGTGGGAGCTGTGGATACTGCCGGAGGATTAGACTCATTTCGTTTGATATAAAAGCTATCTGCATTCAGTAGAATCTGTATTTTGAATTTTGATCTTTTCCTAGGCCAGCTATGTATAGTAATGATACTCTTTTGTACTGTAGCTCCCAGTCACCAACCCTGCTCTTCTGTGGACAGTCATCTGTCTTTCCACTCCCTTCCTCATGAGTTGAATCTGAAGTCCCTAGATTTAAATTCCCTCTCTTCTGGGAATTCTCCTGTCTAATGTCTTTAGCCAAAGCCCTTCTAAGTAAGTTTATTTGACTGGCTTTGTATTCTTTTACTCCCATCTCTTTTCTCAATTTTGGGGTCTCAGTGATCCTTTTTTCTCCCTTCTCACTGTTTCTTCCCATAAAGTAGAGTCAGTTCATTTCCTGGTCCTTCTTTTCTCTCTCTAACCTTTCATTATAGAAAATTTCAAGCTTATAGAAAAGTTGAAAAAGTAAAGAGAACATCCCATAGACCTACTCTCTGGATTGATTGTTAATATTTAGTTATGTTTGCTCTGAGTCTTTGTATGGGGCAGATGTGGCTCTTTGCTGAGTGGAGTTCTTTCTCTGCTTTCTGTGGCCTCAGTTTCCCCTCATCCAAGTTCAGAGTGAGGTCCTGTGTGGAGGGTGAGGGGGCTGTGGATTCAGCTGGAGTATTAGACTTAATCTGTCTTTGTTTATTGTTTATATCTCCTCTGACTACTCCTTAGATCAGGCAGCCTTTGATAACACAGGGAGGTGAAAGAGGCCCCACCCTCTCAGAGGTCCTTCCCAGACCCAACCCAGAAGGAGACCTGTTGGGGCCTGAGCTGGCCGCTGGGGAGCATGTACTTTATTCCTGTTTCAGCTGCTTCTGGGCCCTCAGGTGTTGAGCCCTCATTGGCTCCTGTCAAGAGAGATTAGGGTCTCTGCTGGCAAAGGAAGGAGGGCAGGTACCGGCCAGGGAGGAGGGGCAAGGGAGGGTATCAGGTGTAGAGCACCCTGATCTGCAGCCTCCTCGGGGTGGCATCAAGTTCACCAGTGGGGGAAGTCAGGGCAGCTTGAAGGTTCCCAGGAAAGAGTTCCCACTACCTGCACCAAAGATTCAGAGGGACATGCAGAGGGGGAGGATGCTTGGAGTAGAGTGACTGGAGAGTGGTCATTGGTTCTGTTGGTCATTCTAGTTGGAGATAAAGAGTCGAGATGAAAGACCATATCCTTCTTTGTTATTGGTAGTTCCAATATAATTCCCATTTCCTATTGGAGGGGGAGGTAGAATTTGTATTGTTCCCTACCAGAGGTCAGGCTCCATGTAAGCACTTAACACTCACTTCATTTAGTCTTTTCAGCTGTTTTCAAGATATAAGAATTATTGTCCGTATTTTACTGGTGAAGGCTTAAAGAGGTGAATATAACTTGCTCAAGGTTATGGCTGTGAAGTAGTAGGAGTTAGCACTTGAATCTGAATCTTTTGGATTCTCTTTCAAACTGAGATATCTGAGGCACAGACTGAAGGACCCACATGAAGATGCTGGCAACTCAGACTCTAGGGCTAACATTGCACCCAGTGTGGGTTCCTAACAATAGTGGCCCAAGGAGGGGAGGAAGGCACTGTACTCAAGAAAGCAGCCATCAGAGGAGCCGAACTCTCCACTGTGCCTTCTCATTGCTCTGAGAAGACTCTAGAGAGCTTGGGGTGGGGGACAGGTGATTTCTGGTGACTTCTTCACTGAAGAGAGGGTGGTTCCATTCTTAAAGAGGTCATGCTGTTCAAGAGCCCAGTTATCCAGATGTCACCAGTGAACCTGAGCCCTCTGCTATGTCAGTGCAGGTTGTTCTTCTGGCCTTTTAGTTTGGGAAGCAGCCCCACCCTCGCCTTAGAACTACACCAGCTGCCTTCTGCCGCTGAGGTAGAGGGAATGGTTGGGCGGGTTTTTCCCAAGGATCAGAATCTGGATCGGCCGCCTTTTGGCTGTGGAACTGGAGAACACTCTGTTTCCTACACTCAGGCCAATTGGATGGAGTGGGTCAAGGGCAGCTGTGGGGTCCCCCACCCAGTTCTGCAATGCTGGGTGGAGAGGGTGGGCTGGGGGCTGCTTGGACTGGGTGGAGAGGAAAGGAGTTAATGTGCACTGACCAAGCCACACCCCTCCCATCTGGCTGGGGAGAGATGCTGAGCTGGAGCCCAGGCCAAAGGAGCATACTGAGGGTGGTAGACAGAAGGCAGAGCAGTTCTGGGCCCGGGATCAGGGTAGCCTCCTGTGCACCTCTGACTTTTCTCCTGATCCTCCCTCACTTCTCAGGGGTATCCAGGGCTGAGCAGTGTAAGCCCCTGTCCTCCTACTATGAAAGGGGATGAACAGGCAGGGCCAGCTTCTCTAGAGATACACACAAACCTCCATGATGGTGCAGGCGAGCATAATTCCTTTCCTGTTCAGGCAGGAATCTTGAGGTGGGTGAGGAGGCCTGTGTCCCAAGGCTTGCCAAGGATAAGTGGAGGAGGTCCCCAGGGAACATGTTTTCTGCAAGCCTGCAGGGGTGGGAGGGTAGAAGAAAGTCTCTGAGGGACAGTTGAGCTAATTAAAAGGGGATTAAGGAATCCCAGGTGATGCTGAGGGTGGGGGAAAGAGGGGATGGGGTTGAGTCATAACCCCTCTATTACCATGGCAACTGATAAATAAATCCTCCCAGATTGGGGGTTGCCGCCCCATCATGCCCAGGCAGGAGGACTGAAGAGCCCTGAGAACCTATCATTCATCTCCCCTCTCCTACCTCTGCACCCCTGCTCTAGCCTGAAAGAGCAGCAAGGGCCTGGAAATGGGAAACCCTGCCCTCTGTCTTCATTTTGACCCTCCCCTCCAGGAAATGAAGGAGTAGAGCTGGTCATTCTGGGTTCCTGGCTCTCCTCAGCATCTCTCTGACCCTGTGATGAGCAGCTCTGTTTAAGGGCAAGTGAACCAAGACCTTGAGAGATTATGTCAGTCACATTCTGGGCAGAACTGGGTTCTCAGCTTGTTCTCTTCCCTCAAATACATGGACTTGTCACCTGGTTTCTGCATGTCCCCTGTCCCCTGTGAAGCCCCCTGAGAAAGTTTCCAGCTTCTTTTCTTCCCTTTCCCTGCAGGGAGGGTCAGTGGGCTTAGTCAGGGAAGGAATGCCAGCCTAGAAGCCTCCAGCATACTTTCTGGTACTCCATGTTGTTCACCAAGCTGTGTGGGTGGGGGTGTCTAGTTCTAGGAAGGCAGTGGGTTCAGCAAAAGGCTCCTCTTGCTCATGCTGCTGCCTTTGACCCCTGTCCCTGTTCTTCCATGCCTTCCTAGAATTTTAGGCCATGTTGCACCTGTAGCATCCTTTTCCTTTCAGCCAGAGTTTTTTTCAGACACAGGAAACTGGTACCCAGACTGCCCTCTGACCAGGTTTCCAGTGTGATGTCAACCAGTCCCCTAATCACCAACTGCTCTTCCTCCATAGCTGCTGGAGTACTTGGGGAAGGGCAAGAGCATTGTGGATGTAGGACTGGCCCAGGCCCGGCACCCGCTGAGTACCCGCAGCCACTACTTCGAGGTGGAGATTGTGGACCCTGGAGAGAAATGCTACATTGCCTTGGGGCTGGCCCGGAAGGTGGGCACAAATGCTGGACTTTTTTTATGAAGCCCCCTCAGCTCTTGGGCTGTTGGGCTGAAGTCAGGAAGCTCTTGGGGAAACCAGGAGGGCCTAGGCTGTGTACCACATACCCCAGCCCCAACTCTAGGCCTGGGTGTTGGGAGACTGCAGCCCTGGCCTTGAAAGCTGAGCATCTTCCTCACCACTCCAGTGCCTGAGATGTGAGAGGCTGTGGGGTGGGTGTACAGCTGTCTGGGTTATAACCTGTTACAAAAAATTGTAGTCTCAGTTGTCACTTTCACTGTTTTTTTTTTTTTTTTTTTTTTTTTTTGTGTGGGGGAGTGGTACTAGGGATTGAACTCGGGCACTCAACCACTGAACCACATCCCTAGCCCAGTTTTTGTATTTTATTAGAGACAGGGTCTCACTGAGTTACTTAGCGTCTTGCCATTGCTGAGGCTGGCTTTGAATTTGCAATCCTCCTGTCTCAGCCTCCTAAGCTGCTGGGATTACTGGCATGCCACCGTGTCCGGCCTCTCCTGTTTTCTTTTATGTGTGTGGTCCCATGCATTTTTTTTTTTTTTCCTTCTTGGTGCAGGATTATCCCAAGAACAGGCACCCTGGCTGGAGCAGAGGGTCTGTGGCTTATCATGCAGGTAAGTAGAGGGCTGCCCTCGGAATGTGGGATTGTGGGGGAGATAAAGGCAGAGAGACATCCATTTTCGTGGTCACTTATAAATGGTCTCTTTCCTCTTCTCATGCTTCTTATGCTTTCTCCTCATCTATGCTTTTCCTCCAACCCTAAGAGCCAGGGAAGCAGGACAGGGGCGGGCGAGCTGGGCCCACACTGGACATTCCAGGCCTCTGAGTTGGCTCCCTTTGCGCCCTTCCTGCAGATTTGCCGATTCTTCTTTTTCTTTTTTTTTGGTATGCTCCATTTCCTTTAGGGCTTTCTTGAGAAGAGAATTGAGCTTTGGTTCCTGGTCTCATCTTTCCACTCCCCTCCCTTGCATGCTTACTCCTCACAAAGGGCTGAGTTCCTTTCTTTTTTTTTTTTTTTTTAATAGTTCTCCCTTTAGCTGATGGATAGTCTGTCCCACCTCCCAACACCCTCCCCCCCCCCTTTTTTTTGGTATCACAATTGAAACCAGGAGTGCTTAACCACTGAATTCCAGTTTCTCCTTTTTTATTTTGAGACAGAGTCTTGCTAAGTTACCAGGCTGGCCTGAGCTGCAGTCTTCTTGTCTCAGCCTCCCAAGTTGCTAGGATTATAGGCCTGTGCTACTGTGCCAGTTTTGTGTCCCTTTTTTTTCTTTTCTTTTTAATCTTATACCCCTTTCCACATCTTTCTCCCCATCTTTTTTCATTTTGAGGCAGGTATTATTAAGTTGTCTAGGCTGGCCTTGGTGGGGATGGGGGACATGTCAGCGCCTCCTTTAAGTGTGTCCTCTCCCCTCCTCCTACAGACGATGGGAAGATCTTCCATGGCAGTGGTGTGGGGGACCCCTTTGGACCACGCTGTTACAAAGGGGACATTATGGGCTGTGGAATCATGTTTCCCCGGGACTATATTCTGGACAGTGAAGGTGAGTGGTATGGGGAAGAGTCAAGCTGCTCAGGACAGAGTGGAGGTACCACAAAGGCTCAGGTTTCTGGTCTCCTAGGGGACAGTGATGACAGTTGTGACACAGTGATCCTGTCCCCGACTGCGCGGGCTGTTCGGAATGTTCGGAATGTCATGTACCTGCACCAGGAAGGGGAAGAAGAAGAAGAGGAAGAGGAAGAGGAAGAAGATGGGGAAGAGATAGAACAGGAGCATGAGGGCAAGAAAGTGGTGGTAAGTAGTGATTTAGGGGTTGTTCTTGGGCCCTGGGGCTGGGCAGGGGTTGGCTACTAGTGGGATTAGGACTATGGGCCAGGACCAGGGTGGGAAAAGGCAAGGTCTTAGAGTGTCCTGAGGTCACTGGGTTTGAAAACGGGGCAATAGTTGTTTTCCAGCCTCAGTATGCCCTCTTGTGGCCATTTCTCATATCACCCTACGTGTCTCCTGGAGCCCATGCCAGGAGTTGGAGGTGATGGACCTCAGGCATGTGTAACTCCAGTTTGCAGAGAAGAGGCCAGAGGTTGAGCACGGTGGCGCATACCTGTAATCCCAGCTACTTAGGAGATTGAGGCAGGAGGATCACAAGTTTGAGGTAAGCCTAGGTGACTTAGTGAGACCCTGTCACTAAATAAAAAAATGAAAAGGGCTAGAGATTTAGCTCAGTTGGTAGAGTACCCCTAGGTTCAATCCCCAGTACCGGAAAAAAAAAAAAAAAGTGAAGAGGCCAGAACTTGCACCATTCTGCAACGCCCACCCCCACCCCCTGCCAGGTTTTCTTCACCCGGAATGGCAAGATCATCGGAAAGAAGGATGCTGTTGTACCTTCTGGAGGCTTTTTCCCCACCATTGGAATGCTGAGCTGTGGGGAGAAAGTCAAAGTTGACCTGCATCCCTTGAGTGGCTAGGGGCTTTCCAGACCTGCGCCATCTCCCTCTGCACATCCTTTGCGGGGCCAGGTGCCCAGTTCCTGACTTCCACAGGATTGCTTACCCAGCAGGCCCTGGGGTACATTCACTTTCCCCTTACCAATCCAGGCCACATCAGACTTCACCTTTCTGACCTGGTGTCACCTTTATCATTAGTTGCTGGGCCTGAGTCCCTGGTTGGACAGGAAGAGGCCCATAGAATGGTGTTGCTGTATCAGTGGGTCCCACTTACTATGGTCAGTGTGTACCTGCAGCCCCCATTCTCTCACTGGTCCCATGAGTGGAATGAGTCCCTGGCTCAACTGCTATCGGGGCATGACCTTTGCAGAGGGTGGAGTAGAGACAGCCCATCTCCTACTTACCGTGGTATTTCCCCTTGAATTCTTTTTTTGTTCCCTGTCCTCACCGTGAACAGTGAACCAGTTGCTGCTGTCCTCCCCCTGGCTGGCTAGGGGGCCTCTCTTGGGCCACCTCTCCCTTCACTGGCTGCTGCCCCATAGATTCTTCTTGGGTCTCCATTCTTTCCCTTGAAAGATACCCACTTCCAACCTGCTCAGGCACCATCATCCTGCAGAGAATCCGAGTCTCTGGCTCCTGCACCTGTGCACACGCAGATGGTGCACAGTGTTTGAGGAGGGGCTGTGAGATGATGTGGGACCGGGCTTGCTCCTGCCTCACTGTCCATCTTCTCTTCACCTGCACCACTGTCCCTAGCACCTGGACTGAGGCTCCGGGGAACATCTCATGCTGTGGCAAGTGAGCCTAGAGAGGCAGCTTGGCACCTCACTCCCCTTTGCCTGCCCCCTCCCTGCCTGCCCCAGCTTGCTGCTTGTGCCAGTTGCCTGTTTTGCTTCAGTGTTTGATTCTAGCACTTACATAGACCCTCCTCTTCCCAAGCCCTAGGATCTCCCTCTACCCCCTTGACCCTGAGCCCTTCCCCTAAACTGACTTTTGCTGGGAGGAAGGAGCAGCAGGAGCTTTTGGCCTTGGTTTGCACAGTGGGTAGGGCTGTGGGGAAGTGGGCATGCTGTTGTGCTGCTGGGCCCCTTGGCCCTCTGTCAGGCCCTGCACTATGATGTATGAAATGTATGTACAGATTAGAGATGTTTATACAGCCAATAAAGATGGAGTTTCTGTATTTATCAGTATTGCTGGAACAGGAATTCTTTGCAGTAATGAGGGGACAGGGCCAAGGGGCAGCTGAGGGCAGCTTGTTCCTGGGGGCAGATGTGGACCACTGTTAGGATAGGGAGGGGATCACATGTGCTTGGAATGCCCCCAGGGAGCACAGGTATGCCCCAGGAGGCATGTGGCTGGGATCTTCTGTGAATAAGGTATCAACTCCTACGAAAGTTTATAGAAATTCTTTATTATAGACAAAAATAGACTCTCTTTTTCCCCCTTATTCTTGAGATCCCACTCTGATCTCTGTTCAGAGGGGAGGGAGTGACTTGCTCCCCAGACTTTCCCTCTCCCTGCCATGCTGGGACCTGCTGCTGGGTGGAGCTGGCAGGACCTGGTTCCCCTCCAGGGCTAATGTTCTCCTGCTGGGCTGTCCTGATTTCCTTCAGGATTCAACTGCTGATGCCTCTTCACCCTCATACGCCCATCTCTGCCTTCTGCTCACATGCAAGGTCATCTCATGGGCCCATCCACTTAGCTTAGCTTAGCTGGCTGGGGTTGGGGGAAGGGCAATGCCCAAGCCATTGCCCAATCCCCACTCCTCAGGGAGGGTGGTGGCTCCTGGTTTGGGACCAGGGGAAGTGAGGGCTGTGGGGTGCTGGAAGGGGCACAGTGTTGATGTGTGCTGAGCTTGTGGCTTTCCTTCATTTTCTCTGGCCTAGTAGAACTTTGGTGATAAAGGTGACAATGGCACCTGCAGGCTGATCTGGGTCAAGCTCCGCAAAAAGGTGACACACATTTTCCCAGGGGCTACCCGGCTTCTTGGCCACAAAACCAAAGATCCTATGGGAGCAAAGTCAGAAAGGGGTGGGGCGCTTACATCTCTTCTACAGGGGAATGTCCCTGGCTGGTGGGTGGGGGAGCTGATCCATGTCAGGTTGGGGAGGATGGAGATACCCTGTCCCTTGGAGAGGAGGCTTGGGCTGGTTGGGGAGGCTTACTTGGAGGTGGTCCCATCTGGATTGGTCCATCTGCAATCAGAAGAATTGTGAAGGAGTATAGCCCAGGGGACAGCTCCTGGAAGGGGCTAGGGCGGGGAGGGGCTTAGAGGGAGCCTCACCTTCGGTCCTGAGGGTCAGTGCTGGAGAAGGTGATGCTGCTCACTGGGTAATGGCGGCGAAAGAAAAGCCTGCAAGGAGCGGATGAGGAAGGAAGGTTCTTTTCTGAAATCTGGGCCCCCAAGGGCTTTACATGGGGTTCCCTAGGGGTGGGCACCCAGACTCACTTCCTTTGGTTGTCGGTCAGTGTAATGCCCTGAGCTGAGACCTTGAAGTGGACAACAGCTGGTGTTGGGCGGGGGCTGCAGCTCAAAGCTGCAGAGCTGGCTCTGGCCACAGCTTGAGGGCCAGTCAGTGACTCTGTCTCCACTGACGTCAGGTACAGTACACTGCATGCTGGGAGGAAATGGGTCAGGAAGGAGCATGGTACCCAGGTCTTGTATCACCCCTGAGTCTCCTACCCCAACAGTTCTTGCACTTTCCCCAGCCAGTGCTGTCAAAACACACTAGAGTCACCTAGGAGATAATCTAGAGCGTCGGAAACCCGGGGAAGAAGCCTGAGGATCTGCCTTCTCCGCCCTTCCTCACCATGATGCCCATGTTTATGATGCTTGAAAACCTAAACTGGGGGCTGGGGCTGTAGCTCAGTGATAGAGCACTTGCCTAGCATTGTTGAGCACTTGCCTAGCATGTGTTGAGGCACTGGGCTCCTTCCACAGCACCACATATATAAAATAAAAGTAAATAAAATGAAGGTATTGTGTCCATTTACAACTAAAAAATATATTAAAACAAACAAACAAACCTAGGGGACTCCCCTTCCCCACCCTCTAACCAGTATGGGGCTCTCCCACCTTCATAGGTTAAGTGCATCTGCCAGGGCCTATCACCCAAGGCTGTCAGTGGCCACCCCATTCACAATGCCCCGCTTGGTACCCATAGAGAGGGAGAAGAAAGAGAGGTCTCTACCAGCACCCTGGCGCAGCAGGTCTGCTGCTGTGCTCATGTTGGTGGGCACTGGAGCCTCAGGAGTCTCTTCCAGAGGATCTGAGAGAAATGAAGAACAATAGGAAGTTCAGGAGGGAAGAAACTTCCCCAGTTGCTGGAGAACAACTCCCCCCATCCCAAGGGAAGGCCAGGACCTCTGGATTCTCCCTTTGGCTACAGGAGTAAGGAGAGGTGGGGAGCACCCACCTTTGCTGGGAATGCGCAGGCAGCAGGGCAGGGAAATGGGGGAGATGGAGTGTTGGGAGACCAGGGCGGACAGGCTGCCTGTGGGGAAGGAGGTGAGAAAGTCCTGAGGTGCCCACAGATCTCCCTTTTACCCTCCTGAGGTACTTTAGCCTCTCCCTAAACCGGCCCTGTGGAGCTTTCCTTAGGCTCCTGCTTCTCACCAAAGTAGGGTTCACTGGGACAACCTTTGATCTTCACCCCTTTGGGCCCAGTCTCAATGAGGAAATGGCGGACTAGCTGTTCCAAGGGGTCCCCTGAGATGAAGGTAAGGAAGAACAAAGTAAAGCTTTACCCGATTCCAGGCTCCCAGCTTCTCCCCTGATGGGAATCTCTCCTGAGCAGCAGAGGTCGTTTCCTGCCTCTCCCCATTACGAGTCTCCCCAACACCCCCTAGCCTCTGTAGCTTCTCCCACTCCACTCCCACCCCACAAACCTTGAGTATTCTGTACCTTTCCAGGCCTGGGCACTAGGTGGAGGTGTAGCCACCTTGAGGGCTAACCCATAGGCTCCTTGGAATGAATGACTGTCCCTGATCAGAAAGGCCCCAGGGTCCTTGTCCTTCAGCAGGGCAATGGCTGCAAGGTATTTGGGTAAGGGGCAGCAAGGAGAGTAGCACAGTAGCCCATACACCCTGTTCCTCTGCCAACAAGCACCCAGGGCTCTTTTGACCTGATGGCCATGGTAGGGGGATGTGGGAGTCTGGGGACAGAACTTCAGAGTTTATGGGAGCTTTAACATGTCGAGTCTAACCTGATGGTGAGAGGCTCAGCTAAGGGTAAAGTCAAGGAATTCAACCTAGATGGGACTTCCAAGCCAGGGCAGATGCCCTGGAGGGTAGGGTGAGATGGGGACAAGCTTTCTCACCTTGGTCACGGGACAGGTGTGGCTTATACCAGAACTTAGATGTATCCTGGACAAACTTGACATTGCTTTGGTTCTCTTGTGTAGGGGGCTCTAGGACAGGGAGGGGCTGAGTTCAGACCCCAGCACAGATCCCCAGGACTCCCCAGTGCCCCTCTCTGGGAGAATGGGCTCTCCAGGTCACCCCCTCTGCTCTCAAGGCCCTTATACCTGGCAGTTGGGTTGTATTATCCAGGAGCAGAGGTGCGAAGGTGACATGGTGACTGGTACCTCTGGTTGGTGGTGATGCCTGCTCTAGACCCCAGGGTCCTGGCTGTTGCCCGGACCCTGGCAGGTGGCGTTTCTCAGGAAGTGGAGGCTGAGTGGGACCATTGGTGTCATAGGATACAGCGAGGGGGAAGGCAGGTGTGGGTGAACTCTGAGGTGGCTCTGGGCTGGCCACAAGCCAGGGCATCTGAGTAGGCACAGGGGTGAGGGGAGACCCATCTGGGCTATCTGGGGGGCCTCGAGGGCCCTGCCAGGGGGCATGACGGAGACCAGGCAGTGTAGTGGGCACAGAGCCCCGAGGACTGGCACCGTCTGAGTGGCTCCCTGGGCTTCTTTCCTGAGGCCAGTCATTGGGTGAGCTGGGAGGGGAGGCTGGGGAGAAGGGGCTAGGACTCTGAGGCTCAGGCCCACTTCTAGCTGGCAGCTCAGGTGCCTTTTCAGTGCCTCCTTGGGAAACAGGGGGCAAGGCCTTGCCAGGACTCAGTCTCTGAGTGGGTGCCAAGGTGGGGGACCTGGTGTCCTGTCTTCGGGTGCTGCTGGGTGGAAGGATAGATGGATCAATAGCGTCCCTCCTTCGGGCTGCCTGCACCCCAGCAATGCCTGCCCAAGCAGCCCCAGCCCCTCTGCGTACCTTTCCTTGCCCTGGACTGGGCTGCTGGTGTGCAGGGGTGTAGAGGGACCAGACAGCTCTGAAGAGGCACTGCCCTGGGCATCTCGGGGAGACCGAGGCAGTGTGCTGTGCCCACTGGGGCCCTCCCTCCAGGACACTGACTCAGGTGACTCCACTGTGAAGGGGAGAGGAAGGACTGTGAGCAGGAGGCAGTTCTTCTGTCTGGCTGAATTCTTTTTTATCCTGTGCCCCCTTGGCTTCCCCACCATCTTCTGGGACCCTCCTCCACCCTGTGCACTCGCATTCCAGTGCCCCTCACCTGCAGATGCCAAGGGTCCTGCTGAGGACAGGTGCCCGGGCAGTGGGTACTTATCCCCTTCCTCTTCTGCAGGGATCTCATAGCTCAGCTTCCTGGGTTGTGGGTAGGGTGGGCTGCCAGGGGAAACGGAGCCAGCCCGTGGTGAGTGGGCACTAGGGCTGGGATACCCTCTGCCCTCGCCTGGAGATCCACAGCTGTGAGGCACCCGGCCATATGCTGGGCAGTAACTGGGAACTGCTCCTCCATAGCCATAGGTCACCAGGGCAGGGTACCCTGGATGCCCATACCTGCCTTCTGGACAAATGGCATAGGAGCAGCCCTCATGCCCTTCCTCGCCTGCCTTATGTGGCTTCAGGCAGCTGTAGTCAGGCATCGGGGCATGGTGGTGCCCACAGGAAGGCACCAACAGAGGCAACGGGTGCCCAGGCCGCACTGGGTGCAGGAGAGGTTTGCCAGCTTCACCAGCCCACCCCTCTCCAGCCTCCCTCTCTAGCCGAAGTCCATACAGGGCTGCAGTGGGCAGCGCCAGCTTTTCCTCACATGCTGGGCATGAGCATAAGGCAGGCACTCCAGGGTCCTCCAAGATCACCACCTCCCGGTAGCCCGGAGAGCGGTAGCCGAAGTCCCCATTGGCGGGTTTCCCCAGCTCAGGTGGGTAGGGGTATGGCCCCTCGGACAGTGATCGACAGAGGCGCCTCTTTTCCACAGAGGCCTCAGCATAGCCCTGCGGGGGTCCTTCATAACCCCCATAGGGCAGCCGCCGCCTCTCCAGGGTTCCCTCGGCCCGGTAGTAGCCCCCATTGGGGATCCCACAGGGTTCCCGGTAGCCCTGGCGGCAGGAGCAGTGGCGGCTGAGGCCAGGCCTGTGGCCTGAATAGATCCCAAGGAGGGGGCCTCCGCCCATGGGGGGCTGCTCCTCATCATCTAGGATGGCCGTCTCACGCCCTGCCCCCCGGCCCCCACTGGTCACTCCACAGCCTCCCAGGAGGCGATCGAGCTCTTGGCGCTCTGCAGCTGACGGGGGCGGCCGGCCAGGGGACTCGGCAGTTGGCTCTGTGGTCAGCGTGGAGGAATGGCCGGAGTCGCTGCTGACAGAGAGCATAGGGGGTGGGGGTGGCTCTGGAGAGGGTGCCGGCGGGGTCTGGCGGGGGGCACGCTGCACCTGAGCATAAGGACTGCCGTCCAGGGGACCCCGCGTGTGGGCCAGCGAGCCTGCGTGGAGAAGACGGGGTGAGAAGCAGGGACGGCCTGGAAGCTGCCCGGGGTCGCCCAAGAGGAAGGAGTGTGCGCCGCGCTGCCCACCACCCAGCCCAGGGCACCCTGCACACCGTCCGCACTGTCCTCGTGGTGCTGATTGAAATTCTCATACGAGTCCCAGCGGACGGCAGGGTCTGCAGTGTTGTAGTCCACAGAGACTGAGGGGTCATTCCGGGGGACGTTGCCTGGGGAAAGGCATCCAGGGCTTGAAGCTCAGCGGACCCGTGACTTCGGGCCCCACCCAAGCCCCCACGCTTACCTTTCATCTTCTCTGGGCTTGAGGAGAAGACAAACTCCACCGAGGCCTGGAAGGGGAACTTCTCATCTGTGGGGAGTGAACAGTGAGGAGCGGCCCGGCCCCACCCACCGCCCTGCGCTGTCCCCCCGACTGCCCTCGCGGTGCCCCTGCGGGTAGCTGGCTGGACTCACCAGCCCAGGCCTCATCCAGCTGGTCCTTGGGGAAGGAAAGCCGTGGTCCATGGATGGTGCATGTGTGGAACTGGACTCGGAACACAAGGGTTCGGTCTGTCCCGTGGCCACCCTTGTGATAGCAGGTTACCTGGGGAGGGTGGGAGGCCAGGGGTCAGGCCTTCACATCCGCTTTGCCTCTTCAGTTCCTCTACCCAGGGAATGCTTGGTCAGCTTCTGCCATGCCTTAAGCTTAAAGTGACCTCTCCATCTATGGGACTCCCCCTACCCCCCTTTTTTTTGGTACCAGAATTGAACCCACTGAATCATATCCCCAAACCACCTCCCTTTGAAAATATTTTTTTTAAAGGTTGTTTAGTTGTCAATGGATCTTTATTTTATTGATTTACATGTGGTCCTTGAGAACCAAACCCAGTGCCTCACACATGCCAGGCAAGCACTCTACCACTGAGCTACAGCCCCAGCCCCCACACAGCCCTTTTTAATACTTAGATAGGGTCTTGCTAAATTACTTAGGGCCTTGCTAAATTGGTGAGGCTGGCTTTGAATTCAAGATCCTCCTGCCTCAGCCTCCAGAGCCACTGGGATTATAGGTGCATGCTACTGTGCTCCATGGGGGACTCTTTTTTTTTTTTTTTAATTTTTAATATTTATTTTTTAGTTCTCGGCGGACACAACATCTTTGTTGGTATGTGGTGCTGAGGTTCGAACCTGGGCCGCACGCATGCCAGGCGAGCGCGCGCGCTCCCGCTTGAGCCACATCCCCAGCCCGGGGACTCTTTTTTTGCTCTCCAATTTGCCTTGAACTATGAAGCTGGCAAGACTGCCCCTCACCCCCACATTCCCCAGGACTCTCCTGGTTGCTCACCATGACGTCGCCTTTGAGAAGAAGGGCTGGCTCCAAGCTAATGCAAAGCTGCTGGGGACCAGGACCTTCGATGTGACTGGGGGGCAGAAAGAAGGTAGAGAGAGCTGTGTCAGACTCTGGGGCCTGTGCAGAGGCGGGCAGCAGAAGCAGGAGTTGGGAGGTCACAGTCAGCCCTGGGAGGATCTTCAGCTAACCCTCAGGCTCCCCATCTGTCACTTGGGTTCCCTCATGGTATTTGTTCTCAGGTTCAGTAGCTAGAGCTGGGAGCCCAGGTCTGGGAAGGCCAAACCAGTAGGGATCCATGGAGCAGCAGAGGGGAGCCCCGCCCTGCAGACCTGGGAACAGAGCACTCACTAGACTCCAGATGTGTACACGAGCTGCATGGACTGGTATATTTTGAGGAAGGGCTGGAAGCCTGGAGGGGCAGAGGAGAAGTCATAAAAGGGATGTAGAAAAAGCTCTCCCCATAGAGGACACCTCGGAGGTCTCACCTGTGCTGGGTTCAAAGGCTGGCAGCATGGGCACAAGCACATAGTGCAGGAAAAGAGGGCTGCTGTTCATTCTGATGGAGCCAGACAGCAGCCCACTGAAATAGCTGATGTATCTGGTGGGGGAATATCAAAGAGAATGTAAGTCTCTCCCTCTAGAAGGGCCTTGGAGCATTTCAACTATATATACCCTCTACCCAAACTTGGAAGGCTTGCCCTTCTCTGTACTTCCCTCTCATCTTCCAGATTATCAGAAAGTTCCTCCTTGTATCTAACTTCAATTTCTCTTGATGCCTTAAAGGTGTTATACTTGCTGTTCCCTCTCCTGGAAAGCTCTTCCCCTAGATCTCTGCTTCATGGTATAGAGGAAAGCCCTGGCTGTCCCGAACATCTCTTATCACAGGCTCAGCTTCATTTTCTTCATAATCCAAAATGACGTATCATTTCTGTTTATTCCTAGGCCTGTTGCTTTCTACTCCACTAGCATGTAAGCCCATGAGAGCAGGGACCTGGTTTGTTCTGGATTCTCAACACTAGCACAATGCCTGGCATAGAGGAGTTGCCCAATTAAGCTGTGCTTCGTGAAGAAGAGAATCTGGCCCATTCCCACCCAGGCTGCTCACCGGCGCTGGGAAGGCTGCAGTTCTGTGGCCACCTTGTCCTCGCAAAATTTTCGCATGGTAAGAGTAGCTAGTGCCTGGTCTGCCCTGGGGAAAGCAGGGCCAGTGTTGGGGGTGAAAGGCTGGACTCAATCCTGCCCTCCCATCCCTAAGCCCCAGGAAGAGACACATGATCCCCTCAATCTAGAGGAAGCCCAGAGTGTGTGATAAAGAGAATTAGAAGCACCATAGAATAATCATTTTACTAGTTGTTGGGTCTCAGGCAATTGCTCTCTGGACTTTACTTTCCTCATATGTAAAATGGGCCAGTAAGATCACGTTGTGTGTTATGTCCTTTCTGAAGATATGTACCTCAGAATGTTGACCTTATTTGAAAACAGGGTAACTGCAGATGAAATTAGTTAAGATGAGATCATGCAGGAGCAGAGTAGGCCCTTAATCCAATGTGATGGTCCTTATAGGAAGAGAAGAGGAGACACAGGGATACAGACACACACCATGTGATGATAGAGGCAGAGGTTGGAGTGAAGCAGCTGCTAGTCAAGGTATGCCAAGGATTGCCAGCCACCACCAGAAGCTAGAAGGAGGCAGAGGAAAACAGTACCCAGGTTCACAGCACAAACCCAGACACGGTGATTTTGGACTTCTAGTCTTTAGAACTGTGAGGTAATAAAGTTTGATTATATTAAGCCACCCGGTCTGTGAAACTTTGTTATAGTAGCCCTAGGAAACTAATAGAGAGCACCTGCTGGAGTCTGCAATGATATGCAAGTGATCAAAGAGGGACAGAAACCAAGTCTACAGGGAGGGGCTCTTTGTTCGAACAAAGAGATCCAGCTACAGAGGGGAAGGGGTGGTTGAGGTGCTGGGGTCCTCACCCTGCAGAGATCTTGCTGTAGTGCATGTAGGCAGACACGATGACTCCAAGCTTGCCTTTGCTCCCCTGAGAGACAGAGAGACAGGGATAGAGGGCCTCCTGGGCCTCCAGGATGAGGAGGCCCCTGCTTTGTGACTTGGCGGTTCTAGCTCACCTTGCAGTATAGTACCACCACATGCTGTGGGTCGGCACTGAGCCAGGTCTCCATGGCCTTGCAGATGGAGCACAGTTTGTCCAGAGGTGGGGCATGCAGCTCAGGCCAGCCAAAGTCCTGGACCTGGGGAGTGGAGGGGTATAGCTGGGGGAAGGCCACTAACAAAGAGGGATGGGTGGGGCAGAAAAGGGACAAGATTCAGGGGCCTAGGGACAAGGTTGGGGGCCTCACATTTTCTTTACTGACAGTGAGCTGATATCTCCTGCACTACTTTTTGGGATACCTTAAGTCATAAGAATGCTTAAGAATGAAGTAGATACTAATTGCTTCTATCAATAATGGGGAATCTGGGATCTTCTGGGGTGGGTTTGGTTCAGTTTAATGTCTGAACAGATCATTTTCCCTACCTTGGGGTTCAGGCGGGTAAGGTCATGCCTTTTCTCTGAAAGGTTGAAGAGCTGAAATGAAGGGGAACCTTTAGATGCAGTGACCTCCAACAGCCAGGAGCGATGGAGATGGCCCCACAGTAAGAAGCTGGGTCCCATTGTCAGGCCCCCTTGGCGACCTTCCAGGATTCAACACCAACTCCATCCTGGCCCTGCCCCTGTACTCCATGCTGCCCAGCGGCCTCCCCTCAGGGATTGAGCAGGCCCGCCCATGTGGACCTCTCAGCCTTCTCATTGGTTGGCTCCAGGCCTGCCAGGTCCCTCACCAAGTACTTGTCCCGGTGCTTGGATTGCAGCACGTGGGCCAGCTCTCGCAGGTGGCCCCGGTGTCGCTGCTCATCTGGCCGAGCAGGGAAGGCGGCGGCCAAGATACGCTCTGTCACGTAGGTGAGGTCCAAGTCCCAGCGCCGCTCCATGAGTGGGTCCAAGCTGAAGCTCCTGTGGAGAAAGGGGAGAAGCCAACGTTGTGTAGGAAACAGAGGGGCGGGGAAGAGGGGGGTGGCAAGATGATGGGAGGGTGTTTGGAGATGACAGGTGAGACTGCTTGGGCCCTAAGGGAGAGTTCCGTTTAGGGATGGGGGCTATTCCCAGGAGTTTTGTTGTAGGACGCTGCCATGGGCTGAGGTGTGGGCTGGCAGAGGAGGGGGGGTCACATGGACTTGCCCCTCTCCCACTCACCTGGGCAGAGTGCTGCGCTGCCTTGAGTGGTTCAGGGACTTGGTGGATCCCTGGAGGATCAGAAACCGTGTAAGGACATCTCTTTGGGTGCTCCCATTCTAGCTTCCCCAGTCCAGGGTTCCATGCACTTTTGTCCTCAGGAAACCTGGGTTCTGGTTCCCAGAGCTACCTATTCTCGCTCCACACGCACCCCCAGCACCCCCCCTACCACATCACCTTACCAGGTGCTCTATGCGCCTCACTGGGGCCGTGTTTCGCCGCTAGAGGGAGATGGGGAAGGAAAAGGTGGGGTTAGGGCAGGGACCCGGACCAGTCTGGGCCTGGAAATAGGGGGAGGGCAGACCAGTGTCCACCCTCTGGGCAAGGGGAATGGAGTCCAACCCCCAGAAAGCCCAAGAGCACAAGAACAGCAGAGGGCTCATTTTTTCCTTTCTGGTCAGGGTGCCCAATACCCACAACACTTCGATCTATGTAACCTCCTGGGGGCCCTCTCACAGGCAGCCAGACCTTTGGACACCAGGGCAGGTTCCTTGCCTTCCCAGATGCATCCCATAGCACACTCACCAGCTCTGCAGGGGGCAGGGCCTGACAGGAGGAAGTCACCTGGAAAGAGACCCAAGCAGTGGACTGAGCGCCTGGTGAAATGGGCCCATGGACCCTCCTGGGCTTGAGGATGGGCAACCCCTCAGCTTCAGCAAGAAGGTGGAGGGGCTGTCAGTGGATGGGCACAGGCTCCCGCTGAGGTTCCTCTATTTAAGGGAGCCTCCCTCTGGCTTCTCAGTCCCCCACCCCACAGGCCCCCCACTTGTTGCTCTTGGCTCTCAGCCCCCTGCCCAACAGACCCCCCATTCATCCAGCTGCAGGACAGGAGTTATATATAGAGCCATGCAGGCGGTCATGGCCAGGGGCGGACACTGGCCTCTTTCACCGGCAGACCCCGCCCCTGGGCACACTGCTCCCCCAAGCCAGCTCCAAGGGTGGGACACCCCCCACCCTGCACAGCAGAAGGACAACCTGAAAGCTCCTCAGAGATGGGGCTGTCTTAGGTTCCCATTGGATAGTGGGTATCATCTACAGCATGTGCCTGGAAAGGGCCAGTCTTTCCAGGACCCAGGACAAGACCCACCCAAGCATCCTGAGGACCCTTCCCCAGAGGGAAGGCACAGCCCATCCGGCTGCCCAGTCTTTGCAGTCCTGCTCCCTTCCCACCCACCCCACCCTTCCTCCTCCTCCTTCTCCTCCTCTTCCCCACCCCCCATCCTTTCGCCAGCTGCAGCCTGGGCACAGCACCAAGACAAACGCTGTCTCACTGTCCACCCGCCTGGGCCAGCCCTCCAGGGGTGGAGTAGGGTGGTTCTTAAAGGGCCCAGCACAGCACCCTTACCATCCAGGAGTGGGTCACCAATGGTGAGATGACAGGGGTGGAGGGTGGGTAAAGTGTGGCTGAGCAGTCTATCTGGGGAGGAGAAAGGAACTCCAGCGCCACCCCTACCATCAGGTAGAACCAGATACCTACCTTTGATTCACATTTTCTGTGTGTGGCCACCTTGCAGACTAGACAGGGAAAGGGAGGAGAGGAGTTAGTAGGGCTCTGTGGGATCATCTACCATCTCCTAGGTCCTAGATGCGGACCCTGGGACTTCTAGGACTCCAGCTGTATTGGACTGCCAGGGGTAGGGAAACAGGGGCAGGGTTTGAGGGAAGAACATGGCAGAGGGGTTCTACTGCCCAGGTTAAGGAGTGGAGTAGTCAGAGGCCATGTTCCAGGGTAGATGGAGGAAGAGGGAGGGAAGTCTCCCAGTCACAGGTCAGGATGGGAAGGTAGTGTCCTGGGTTATAGGTGTGTGTCATAGGGAGCCAGGGCTGCTAAAGTGGGAGGCAGTTGCCTCCTGGCTACCCTGGTGCCTACCAAGAGCGGCACAGTGGTGCTGGGTGTGGTGTGTGTGTGGGGGTATCTCAGAGTCACAGGGCAGAGCGCCTCACCTCTACAGGAGACGCCTGTCCCATCGATGGTCACTTTACACACTGCACACACTGGAGCTTTCTTCCGGAAAACCTTCTCTCGGAAGCTATGTGGCTCAGCTTTCCTAGGCTGTGAACAGGGGACAGAGAGAGGTGTGATGCCACAATGGGGCCCATCTCCAGGACTGAGTGGAGTCCTTGCCTTAGTACTGCACCGCTTTCCTCCTTCTTCTTCCCCATCAGGCCCTCAATCTCATAGGACACACCTGGCCACAGCTATTTCAGGCCAGTCATGAGGCCTGTCCTCAGCAGTGCTTGGAATGTGACCCCTTGCTTCATGTCACTTTCGCTAGGTCAGCTCCTCCCCAAGGAATCATTTACGCCCCTCACGTGGCCCTGCTATGTGATGCCCTCATTACTGCCAATCAAACCCTAGGGCTTTCCTCATGGTGGGGCAGGGGTGCTGACTCTCCTCCCATCTTGCCCTCCCCAGAGGGAGGCCTGTGTGCCATGAGGAGGGTCCAGATGTGTGTCACCCAGCCTGAGCCAAGCCACCAGGAGTGGCCTCAGCTGTCCTGCTCCTCTGTCCCCCTGCTCCAGGCAGCTGACCTGCCTCCCTCCCCCATGGTCAGAACAACATGTTTACTCTTTGTGCATTGTGGCGTCAGACAGCAATTGTGTAAGGAGGAGGGAGGGACAGGAATGACACTGGGGAGAGATGTCCAGCTGACTTGCTGCCTGGGGCTATACTGAGCTCCCTGTCACTTGGTGTTCAAATGGCTCTGAAGCATTGACAGAGGAGGGAGGAGATGGACCAGATTCTCCCTCTGGCCCCTCCCCACCCAGAGGTACAAAGAGGCAGGAGATGGAATGTCCCGGATGGCCGAGGCCTATCTCGGAACCATCCCATGGAAGGTTCCCATGGCAAACTCCCATGGCTGGTTCACTCCTCCCTCCTGCTGGGGACAGCTTGCCTCTCTTCTACCCATTTTCTCCTCTGGAGTTCAAGACTCTGCTGCCCTGCTCCTCTCCTTGACCTGCCTGATCCTAGTACTGTGTATGCTGTGCAAAGCTCCCTCTTCAGGGTCAAGATGAGAAATTGGGAAGAGGAGTGATGGGGACCCAGGAACACCTCTGGCCTTTTGACTATCCTTGGAACTGTTCTGGGCCCCACTAACCTTGTGAAACCCAAGAGGACACTTGGGTGCGCTTGGCAGCATTAACGGCACATACAGAGGAGCCCCGGGGAAGACTACCTCCAGTCTAAAGCTCTCCCAAGACCTGGCCTCCTCTCCTCATTTCTTTGCCACCTCCACCCTATTTCCCCCAAACTTTCTGGGACAGGGAAGAGGCCTGATGCCAGCCCTGCTCTGGAGCTCCAGGATAGTGCCTGGCGAAGTACAACAGTGAAGTGGGACTTCAGGGCTCAGTTTTGGGGGACAAGACTGCTCCAGGGCTGACTCCAGGGGCAGTAAAGGGATAGAGAAGCCAAAGCAAATGGCAGGATCCGCTCTTACCTAAACATTTACTGCCCACACTTAGCCCTCTGCCACCCCAAGGGACAGAGGAATA